GCATTAGTTCAGAACACACCAGGATGTCCATCTACTGTTTTGCCTTGCTTTCTGCGTAACCATTTCTTCGACGATGCATTCCATGTATAATATCAAGGCATTTCCGAATAGAGCAATGTTCTCTAAAACGAATTTCTGAATCTAGAGAGGTTGTATCCCCCTAGAAGCAGCTTGGCGTGGCGCATACTTGCTGCCTTCTGCCAAAGTCGTTCTCTCTCCTTTCTCTCCTTCGTGCGGAGCAGCTCCTTAAGAGTGTGGGATCCTACCGCTATGTATGGTTCCGGTCCCAACATCTTGGACGCTGCCGCAGCGCGGGCCCGTTCGTCGGCCTTCTCGTTTCCTTCTAATCCTTTGTGCCCGGGCACCCATATTAAGTGCACCCGGCTGCACAGGGACAGACGGTTTAGCCTTTCTATGCATTCCTCGACTAACAGCGATTTAGTCTCATATGGTGAGATCGCTTTTAGTGTCGCTTGACTATCACTGAGAATAGCTATGCGCTGGTTGCGATAGTTGCAGCTGAGGTTGACTTCGGCGCACTGACATATGGCGAAACTTCAGCCTGGAAGATACTTGGGAAGCATCCCATTGGTATAGACTTTGTACGCGGTTCCGCAATATCTGCCCCTATACCTTCAGGTGTTTTGAGCCGTCAGTGTATCACTGAATTTTACTGTCTTCCAGCAGCCTTTCCAGGGTAGAGTCGCTCCCCTCCGTCTTGCTGCCTAGAGTTACTGTGAAATTCTTTTTGAAGTTTATATTCTTCGCGGCGCTGTCCTTTGGGAGGAGGGCTAGCGGTGTGCTTTCCGCTAGTGCATCCATCTGTCTAGAGGACAYTATCTTCCCTCTTCCACAGCCTTCTGCTGACATTAGCAGCATAATACAGCCTGTCTTAACACCTGATGCAGCGGTGTGAGCTCCARTAAGACTTCCAGTGCCAACGTGGGGCATGTGCGCATTGCCCCTGAAGCACAGACACTGGCAAATCTTTGTAGCKTTGACAGTCTCCGAATCACCGAAGACTGTGCTGCTTTGGTGGCCCAGGCACCCGCTCCATAGGAGACAATAGGTCTTACTATCATGGTATACAGCCATCTTRTGATACTTGGCTTGCATCCCCATGATCTGCCAACAGACGTCTGAATAAAAATCACGTCAATAAATTCATAACACCTTCTCGGCTGTGGTTGCGACTTAAATATTCTTCATCTTTCTACAAATCGCGATAATAGTATTGAAAGCCATCTAAATTAGTACATTTTTCATCAGTAAAGACAACTGAATGCCAATCATTAAGACGAGTTTCAGTATAAGTATGTATACTTTTTCACGTTGCAATAAACTCAGAATTGTGGCTATTCCCATTTTTACTTTAAATGACCCTCCAAAACAATTAATTTTTAAATTTTTATGTTTAAGGCAAATAAATTGCTCGAACGAAATTCGAACTTTGATAAGAAAAGCAAGTTAGACCATAAGAACAAAAATTATTATAAAATTGAAAAGAATGTTGGTGCGTTTAAACTAAGGCCAGTATTGTATATAAAAAGTGAATTCGATACTTGCCCATATAAAGAGTATCTAATATTTTCCAGTTATCATTGTACGACTTATTAACAATTACTACTAAAACTAGTATCAGTACAACAACAAGTGACTGAGTTAATACTTTATAATTTGTCACCCTGAGCGAAACTTAAAGGAAAACTCAACAAATATCTTGTCGTGCTTGCATTGACCAATTCTGAGAAATTATTGAGGCATTCAAATAAGACGCATGCCACTTGAATTACATGGAGCATTATTAAGTTCCAACTGATCGATTTCATTCATTAATAGACGTTAATTCAATAAAATGCATTAGTTGTGTTGTTGACCTGGTCAGGTGATAGCGGCGATGCATCACTAAATGAGAGACCGACAATCCGAGTCGCCGCAAATGAGAAGATGACACCGCTCAGCTGGAGTATTGACAGTAATCAACAGCCGCCCCCAAATCAAGTAGTTGTTTTCGTCGTTTGAGTTGTTTTTTTGCTGTTGCATGACAGTCTATAAATTRCTAAGCGCATCTGATTACTTTTGCCTGTTCAATTTCAATTTCTATACATATTTTCTCTATTTTTACAATAAGCGGGTTCGAGACTTCATTTCAAGTAATGTACATTTCGCCCATTATTTATATCATTTAGTTTATTAAAATGATTTGTAATCGTATATGCAAAGCTATTTAACGAAGTGTTGACAAAAATTAATTGCAATTTTAGCATATAAAAGCAAACTGCTATTCCGAGTTTAAYCAAAACGTTTTCGACTCTTCCAGAGGAGCTTTCCTAGCAAATACTCAGAACCGTTCTTAAAACCAAATAATTCAGTGAAAATGCGTGCCTTCAGAGTTTGCTTAGTACTGGTGATGTTCGTGGTGATGCTGGTCGGCACTAGCGGYAATCCCGTCGGCGATAATGCTGTGCTCACCATAGAGACAGCCGAACAACCGTTAACTTTGTTCGATGTCGACGCGCAGCAAGGACATGAGAACGATGGCGATCGCTTGGCGCGGGGCTACGGTGGCTACCGTGGTGGTTATGGTGGTTATCGTGGCGGTTATGGTGGATATCGTGGCGGATATGGTGGATACCGCGGTGGGTATGGTGGATATGGCGGTCGCCATGGTGGTTATTATGGTTAAAATGACGACAAATATGCAAAAAAAATTGTTAAATTAAAAATGTGTTTTACCAAATTACAAAAAATAAAATTAACAGAATTTTACCAATAATTTTGTGTGTTTTCTGTTAAAAAATAATATTGATTGTATAAAATAAATAGTATTCCATTTCAGTATCAACTAATGCCATATTATATAGAAATCGCTGAAAATCTTGCCAACGTGTTTAGAATAATCTTTATGACCAAATGAATGCTCTATGAATTGTAAATGAGATCAAGCCCTTGGAACTATCTGAAACAACTTCGAGAAGAGATTGCAAGGACTGACTGATTAATGTGGCGTCGAAACTGTATAACAATGTAGTGAATGACACTCCAAAAACGAGCCAAAACCGAAAAAATYAGTTCAAAGTTGTTCAACAGTCAAAATGTTACTCATCGTTCATTCCACATATTCGAACGATCTATAGAGAATACAACGTGTCTGTTTTGAGGCATCCTTTCATGGAGATGACCAGATTTGTGAGCAAAAATTGCTACATTTATTACCATAATAATGCGCCGTTCCATTCTACCACGATTGTGACTGACTGTTTATCCAAACACGATACAAGTGTCATAGCTTTCCCACCTATTCGTCAGATTTGGCTTCAAGTAATTTTTTTTAACATTACTTTTACGAATTCTATGCAAAAAATCTTTGAACTGTCAACTATATATTTGACTTCTGAGACCCTCATTTCACGCCTTACCTACCCATCATAGAATGATAGCACTACAATGCATTCTAATTGTTGCTACCTCTTTTGTTGTTTACGTCATTTCTTATCTTACCGAGCATATTGTTGCAATAAAACTGTGGGCGAATCGAACATTAGTTGCCAGATACCTACATGAAATCTTGCATATTGGTATGTACATCAGCTTTCTAAATAAGAGAAATAAAAAATATGGCTCTGCCTTCAGAGCATAATTAAATTAATAATTTAAATCTCCTTGGGTAGTTTGTTAATTCCAAAATGTTAACTATGTAGGTTATTTTAAATTAATTTGTAGCATTTGTATGTAGGGTCATGGTCCGATTCCATTAATTTGCAATCGCAATCTGCATAAAGAATAGGAATTTTATAATATTATTTTCATTTCATCGTTTTCTGCATTGCCTAATATGAAAAYCTAAGGAGCGCTTATATTTTACTTCCGGTCAGTATCTACGCACACGTTGCTCGCAGATGTGAAATTGAATTAAATAACATGTAATGCATTTGCTATACATTTACTTTCCCGTCGATTTATAAATCAAGGGGAATTCCGGAGTGATGGCAAGTTTGTGTCTTAAGTCTTCAGTAATGACTTCTATAATGCTTGTGAATTTAGCTCAACCTTACGGGCTATAATATTATGTTCATTAGTTCGACAAATACCGATTTATTTCCAGTTTTAGTCGAATTATTATTATGACTTAAGCAAGTTGTGTGACAATAAACTAGCAGATATCGCGGCACGCACAATATTGATTGCCATATCTTGAAATATTGCACAAACACTCTATTTATTTGTGTAGAATACATTACGAAAATGTAAATCGTAAAGAACATATTTACAATATTATATAGTATTTACTTACCTTAAGTAGGTAAATAATGGCGTTAGAGGTAGGTGTTTAAATTATAAATCTTAGAAAAACAAAAACAATATAAATGAATACATTTATGAAAATAATTAAAAATCTAATCAGTCAGATCATTCAGTTTATTTTGTGTTTCCGTTTTTATACCCTGAACAGGGTATATTAAGTTTGTCACGAAGTTCGTAACATCCAGAAGTAAGGGT